TAGATGTCCAGTCCTTTTCTCAGACATTCTTTTCATGCTTATAGATTTCGCCTCCTCTTTGGAGGCAATAATCTCACTGATTAATTCCTTGAATTCACTTGTTCTACTGCTGTCATACACCTGTCCTCCAATCAAATTCTCACTGGACCATCACTGTGGCTGTCAATTCCACAGATCAATCTTGCTTCACCTCAGTACAGCCTTTCAGCATCATGTAGAAAAGCCCTGGGTATAGTTCCCATACAACTTCCTCAAGGACCAGAAGCCAGAGAAACAGGGCCCTTGGAAGAACTCTCATCCTAATGGATTCCAGCATTCCTAGTAAGCCTCTTCTTCCTTTTAGCAGCAACATTTACAACTTGGCATTTGACTTCTGATTACATAAAAGGATAACTGTCTGGAAAGGTGCCCGCATGACAGTGCAGGCTGTGCTGGGGACCATGGGCCTCCCTGAATGGAAGGGAGTAGCCTCCTGCCTTGGTCTGAAAGGTGACAACCGGGTCAGTCCTGTCACATCAGTGTGAAGAAGTCACTACGAGCTGCTGCCTCCTTCCTTCCTAATCAGCTAACCTCACTTGGTGAAGTCTCTTTTGAAAGAAAGGTTAGCACCTTTTAGCAAACTAAGGTGCTTTACAAATGGGGAGTTAGAAGAAATATAAAAGCATCTCAAATTCCTGCACATGATCTTTCCAGGTGCAGTCAGTTCCCAAAGGGCAGGGAAAGTGCTCAGACTTACGGGGGCGCTTATGAAGACAAGGCCAGGGCTCTGCCCAGACACCTGATGCCCCTGAGCTCTGCCCTCCCAGCACGTTCCTGTCCTCAGGAGCATGCTCTCTGGCAAGGGCGTCTAGACAGGTACTCAGGCAATGACCTGAGGAAGACAGCCACAGACTCAGGCAGTAACCCAGTCAGCCCAGGAAGGAGGCATGGGGCTGCCCCTTGCACAATAGGTAGGAGTAGATGACCTTGAAAGGCCAGAGATTACACACAGCATGGGGTGAGCTTTCAAAGAAGAATGACTGATTGGCTGACTGAATGAATGGACTCTCTACCATCATGGTTTCTTTAATTGTAGTGAATTGAAATTACCACTTTCATATAGAGGACTTCCTTTAAATTTCACATTTGGCCAGCTTGTTGCTCTGCTTTGCCTATCAAGGTGTTTGGCACCCCGCGACCCCGCGTGCTCCCAGGGCCCCTGTGTGGGTAGCAGTGGTGCCAAAGCCTGCCTCCCTGGACCTTCTCTCTGATCTGAAGGGGAATCAGGTTCTACTGGAAAGAGCACACTGGGCTTCCCAGTCAAGCTGGCCAATGTTCAGATCCTGGCTGTTTGTTGTGGGACCTTGGACTGTTGTTTCTAACTTGATTAAGCCTCTATTTCTTCATCTAAACATGGGATTAAGTTTATCTGACATGCTGAGTAGATATAAGAAATAAACTATTGCCTGTGCAATGCTGGACACTTAAAACCACTCAAAGAAGGGCTGCTTCTATGTGGCATTGTTGATGTTATTGGAAGGACTCCTTGGGACTGTGAGGATGAGATTTCCCTGTCTTTCACAGCTCTATCAATGCCGCAGAGCTGCCACCATACATCCTGAGGTCTCTGCATCTCCAGGCCTAACGCCCTTGTCCCCCGTCCCCCTTCAACAATGATGAAGTTTCTCTGCTTGGGATGATGGTGCCATTTTATCACTGTCTCATCAGGGCTCTGCTCTACCTTGTGTAAGAGTAGCCTGAGACCCTGAATGTGGACTCTTGGGGTGCAGAAGACGGACTGAAAGAAAGAGAAGTGGCTGGAGAGAGTGTATGCTATAGGGCCTCCTCATCCTGATTTCCTGATGGCTACAACTCTCATTCCTGGACATTCTCTCCTGGGACAGTGGCCTTCTCTAAAGTCACCATCAGGTTTCTTCCCTCTGTTCCCCAGGGCCACCTGTGAGAGCCACAGGTGCACCAAGGCTGTGCTCTATGACCCATCTCGGTTCTTCCCTCCTGGCTTAGGGCAATTTTCAGGAGACAGCGAAGTCACCATGGGGGCTTTCCATCCTCCAGATGCCTGGATCATACGCTTCCTGGTTTTAGGAGGTGATTATTGTTGTTTTAGTACAGGAGGGAAAGCAGCGGTTTTACCCACATTTACGAGTAGGGTGGGCAGTGTGAAGCGAGGCCGGCTGCAGATGCCACACTGGCTGGGCCAGGCCCATTTTCCTCTACCCCCTTCCCACAGGGCCAGAGAAGCCTGACTCCAGTGCCTTCTTACTTTCCTCTGGCCTGGCAGCTGGATGCTCACCTATTATAACATGTTTTTCAGAAAACTCACAAAGGATGTCAACTAATATTTTGTTTCTGCATCACAAAAGAAAACAGAACAGGGAACAAATGAATCAGTTTTTCCCAAATCCTAAACTGTAATTTCTTTATAAATGAATTTAGAGACTAGCTGTTGAGTTCCACAAATATTCCTGGGTGTTTATTGAATGCCAAGCCCTGTACTGAGTGGATGGAGGCCAAAATGTCAAAGATTAGGGCCCTGTCATCAGTACTTCCACGAGCAGCCTATCTTCGGACAGCTGTTATGCTCTGCAGCCAAGAAGCATGCAAAAGCTGGCAGAGAGCTGTGGAGGGGCCCAAGGTTCTGGGTGGGTGTTGGTGTTCACCCGTCCATGCCTGCCCACACCCAGTCCAAGTGCCCCTCTTCCATGAAGTCTCCCTTGGCTGCCTCAGGCCGCAGTGAGTTCCCTGATCTCCAGACCCTGGATTCTTACAGTGCTCCATGGTCTGTATGTATGAGATGTTTCCTGTCTGTTATCTCATGTTCTTCACCTCACAGCCTCATGAGGCACATCATATCATCCCCACTTTAACAAATGAAACAACTAAAGTTTAGAGAAGTAAAATAATTTTCCCAAGGTCACGGAAATGAGCAGCACAAAGCTGGAACTTGCACTTCCGTGTTCTGACTCCATGAGGCCTCCTCCCCAGGACCAAGTGCTCGCTCTCCCCATCCTTTAGCCAAGTGCCCCCTCTTTGGAGCTCCTATGGCTCTTCTTCCATTTTACGTCAGCACTGGTTCCTCCCTCCCTGGTTTTAGTCACACGTGTCTCCTCAAGGGCAAGGTCCTGCTGAGCCTGCGTCTGGTCCCCTGCTGGCACTGATGGCATGGGAGCCCAGTCAGGCCTGGTTGGGTGCAAGAGGAGAGCATGAACTTGGCCAGTGCCTCCTGCCTCCCTGCTCACCCCTGCATCATCTGGGTCAGTATCCTAACTCCACACAAATCTAGGTGTACAGAACATACTAAGAAGATGATAGTGGTTTTTATCCCTCTCTTCCGTGGGTCATTTACCACTTATACCCTAAAGAGAAACACCTGCATGCTCTGAATTTTCAGTAGGGTGTTCATGTAACGTATCAACCAAACCAGGTACTTTTGAGGATGAAATGGTGCACTGCTACCCGTCACACTGGGACAGTTGGCCTAACCTGAAGCATAAGGTCACCCATCTTAAACAAAATGTATGGCTGCAACTGGAGGGAAAGGTATGAAGCAATTGTTTATGAACTGTTATTTTATCTTCTAGTGTGGAAAGGTTGCAGGTAAATGAAGGGCCTTTGTTTCCAGCCATAACTGCATCAATTTTTCCCAAATCCTAAACTGTAATTTCTTTATAAATGAATTTAGAGACTAGCTGTTGAGTTCCACAAATATTCCTGGGTGTTTATTGAATGCCAAGCCCTGTACTGAGTGGATGGAGGCCAAAATGTCAAAGATTAGGGCCCTGTCATCAGAGTACTTCCACGAGCAGCCTATCTTCGGACAGCTGTTATGCTCTGCAGCCAAGAAGCATGCAAAAGCTGGCAGAGAGCTGTGGAGGGGCCCAAGGTTCTGGGTGGGTGTTGGTGTTCACCCGTCCATGCCTGCCCACACCCAGTCCAAGTGCCCCTCTTCCATGAAGTCTCCCTTGGCTGCCTCAGGCCGCAGTGAGTTCCCTGATCTCCAGACCCTGGATTCTTACAGTGCTCCATGGTCTGTATGTATGAGATGTTTCCTGTCTGTTATCTCATGTTCTTCACCTCACAGCCTCATGAGGCACATCATATCATCCCCACTTTAACAAATGAAACAACTAAAGTTTAGAGAAGTAAAATAATTTTCCCAAGGTCACGGAAATGAGCAGCACAAAGCTGGAACTTGCACTTCCGTGTTCTGACTCCATGAGGCCTCCTCCCCAGGACCAAGTGCTCGCTCTCCCCATCCTTTAGCCAAGTGCCCCCTCTTTGGAGCTCCTATGGCTCTTCTTCCATTTTACGTCAGCACTGGTTCCTCCCTCCCTGGTTTTAGTCACACGTGTCTCCTCAAGGGCAAGGTCCTGCTGAGCCTGCGTCTGGTCCCCTGCTGGCACTGATGGCATGGGAGCCCAGTCAGGCCTGGTTGGGTGCAAGAGGAGAGCATGAACTTGGCCAGTGCCTCCTGCCTCCCTGCTCACCCCTGCATCATCTGGGTCAGTATCCTAACTCCACACAAATCTAGGTGTACAGAACATACTAAGAAGATGATAGTGGTTTTTATCCCTCTCTTCCGTGGGTCATTTACCACTTATACCCTAAAGAGAAACACCTGCATGCTCTGAATTTTCAGTAGGGTGTTCATGTAACGTATCAACCAAACCAGGTACTTTTGAGGATGAAATGGTGCACTGCTACCCGTCACACTGGGACAGTTGGCCTAACCTGAAGCATAAGGTCACCCATCTTAAACAAAATGTATGGCTGCAACTGGAGGGAAAGGTATGAAGCAATTGTTTATGAACTGTTATTTTATCTTCTAGTGTGGAAAGGTTGCAGGTAAATGAAGGGCCTTTGTTTCCAGCCATAACTGCATCATTCAATGACAGCAAGAATCGTCAGTACCCATTTCTTCATCCTCCTCTTCATTTTATTCATTGGCTAAACTTCCCAGGATGTGTGTCTGTGTCTTATTGTGTTTTTCTTTCCTCTAGAGATCCTGCAGATAATTCAGCTGGACCTAGACCTAAAGTACAAGACCAACATCCGGGAATTGTTTGAGGAGTTTGACAGTTTCCTGCCAGGCGCCGTCATTGGCATAGCAAGAGAGATGCAGCCAGTGTACAGGTATGTGCGAGCTGTAAGGGGGTGGCTCCAGGACCCTCCCCGCCTCGTCTCTGCCTCTCTATCTGTGGCAGGTTGGGGTTCATCCGCAGGCAGTCCTGCTGCACTCACTCTCTTAGGGACACAGTTGTGCTTACTATTTACACTTAATAGTATGGGCAGGTGGGTCTGCTCAAATAGGTGCCACCTCATTCCTTTTGGGTAATTCATGACATTTTTCCTGTGGGAAGCCTTGCCTTTTTGGTTGTTGGTTCTGGTTATGCTCAAAATTTTACAATCTTGGGCTTTGTCTTATAGAGGAGGAGTCAGAATATAGCTTGACTAACTTGCCTGTCTGGTGGTGAACTAGGCTTTCTGGCATCTCTGTTGGTGTCTCATATGGAGGGAAAGACAGCACCACTTAGGCACACAGAATGGCATCACCTAGTCGTGAAGAATGCGTTCTGCATGAGGCAGCGTCTCATTGTCAAGTGAATGTCATAGAGACACTTTAGCACCTGAGAACCAGGAGCTATGTTTAACATGTTCCAGAATGTTCACTGCAGCATTGTTTATAGTAGCTAAACACTGAAAATGACTTAAATGTTCATAGATAGCAGAATGGATCAATAAAATATGTTCGTCCAATTGAGTACCATACAAAACCAAAAATAGTAGAACAAATAGTAGCTACCTACACTGATAGGAAAAACTATACTGTGTTCTTTGGAGATGCAAACACAAATGGCAAAAATTATAAGGAAAACTAAGGAAATGACCCCAAAGCCAGCACGACTGTTACCTCTGGAGGAGGTGGGGCATGGTGGGGGTGGGTCATGGGAGGTTTTGCCTCTGGAGTACTATACTGCTTTAGTTCTCGACCTGGTGGCTGTGCACATGTTTGCACACTGTCTTTTGTGTGTAATGTATGTCTTACAATTGGAAAAAAGGAAAGGAAAGCGGAAGCACCTATGGATTATTTGTTCATAATAGGCCTGTGTATGACCCTGGGTCCAGAGAGTTCCATGATGCTGACTGTTCCTCCTCTGGGCAGGCCCATAGTTCTCCCAGGACCCAGTCACCTGGGGCTGGGATTGTCCTCATCCCCTGGGGCGGGCCTGCTCTTTGTTCTCTGTGCAGACCCTTGTGCTGGTTCCCTGTGGACATTCTTGGAGCTAGGCCCAGTCTTTGGAGAACTGCAGGGCATAGGCAACTGGTGACTCAAGAGCCTGTGTTTCCCCTATGAGAGCAGGGAAGAGGGGCAGCCTCAGCGTGGCTGTGGCTGTTTGCAAGACCCAGAGCACATAACAGGAAATTCCTGCAAGGCCTCTGAAGGAGCTGATAACTCCTGGGCCTTGAGGGCTGTTCTCCTTTACATAGCCTCTAGGAGTGGCCCCAGAGTCACCAAGTAGATCTTCTTGCTCTGCTTTTGGGGGGCAAACCCCTGCCATTGCAACTCACGGCCTCTTCCCTACCTCATTCCCTAACCTTCATACAAGGTGTATCTTATATCTAGTTCTTAGTTTAACAAGTGGAGGTGATGGGAGAGCACTGAATCCAAAGCCCTGTGTGTGAACACCGGTTTGGCACCAGGCTGGGGCCGCAGTTCCCCCACCTGGGAGTGGAGCAGATGTGCTCCAAGGCCCCCTCCCCAGCGCTGGCATTTGTGACGCCAGCTCTTCTGCCCTCACCACTCTCTCAGTGTCTTTCCTCTGTCCTGAGCTGCCTGTCTGCTGGCGAGCTCCTCACTGCCCCATAGGCACTGCTGTCCCTGAGATATTTAAACTGGACTAATTATTAAATACAGCCAGAACAGTGATGCCTTCAAGCTCTGGTTTGGAATCTTCCCGTGTAATATAAATGGAAACCTGATCGCACTTAAAAGAGATTGGCCAGAATTTATATTTTCTGTAGATCTGGGATTTTATAAACTGTCAAACTTCACTGAGTTTAATTGTCTGGCCTTCTCAAAAGAAATCTTGGAAGGATTTTAGATGAAAAATTAAACTGAGTTTCTCTCACCTTCAGAGTTGATTATCACGATGGGCAGTGCGGAAGATGAGCCCTCTGCTGCAGGGCTGCAGGAAGGGCCTGCACACCGCCCTGCATGTAGGGCTCCCATGCGCAGACCCAGTGGCAATGAAAACTACTTCACATGTTCCCCCTTGCCCCCTTTCCTCCCCCCAGCTGAAATGTTTCTAAAGGCATCTAATACTGAGGTCTGCAGATGACTGCCCTGCCTGTATTCTGCACCTGGTTGGCCCTGGGTAATGGCCCTGGAACATGCGCAGTCTCGCACTGGGGCTGGGGATGCACTGGGGCTGGCTGGGGAGACAGGAACGAGTGTGGGTTTTTGCCATCTTCCGCCTGGTGGCAGGCCAAGTATTAGCCGACTGCCCCTCTGGAGCCTGTGCCTGAGGGGAGGGGAGTGTTGTGGGTAGTAGGTGGGAGGAGAAAGAGGGAGATGGAAGGGAAGTGAGTGGGCAGTGCCCAACTGAGGACAGAGTGGGGCCTTTCTGGTGAGCAGACAGTCTTAGCCCATCCGTGGGCCTGGCCATCCTAGGTGGTGGGGCATCTCGGCCCGGCCATCTGCCCACCTCTGTGGGCACTCACCATTCCCTGTGCACTCCTCCAGAAACCTGCTGTGGTGGTCTGACAACTCTTTAGTGATGGAGAGGGAAGTGGGCAAGTTTTTTTAATCATACATGGAATCTGCTAGCATCTATGAAAAGAAAGGGAAATTTAGAACAAAACAGCACAAGAGCAAAATTTGATTAACCAAGCATGTTTTGATCTGGAAATTCACTAAGCAGAAATAAATTTGGGTCTTCTCAGCTGTGTAATTTTTATAGTCACTTGTCTGACAGTTACTATATTTCAAAAGGGCACATATTAAGTCATCTTTATGGCTGTTTCCCCTCTACTGTGTGCCATAAATGTTAGAAGCTTGGAGGGGTTGGAGAGAAGGTATTTCTCACTTTTATTTGACAAATAGCCTTTTATATTTTTAATTCCCCCCCAAATGTATACCAAACTGGCTGTCTTTTTTCTGGAAAATGATTGATAGTGGGATGCTGGGATAGTGATAGAGGAACCATTTTCTCTTGGGCCCCTGTTAAGGTTCTGTTGAGTCAAATATCCCTTGACCTTCCTCATCTGAAAACTGGGGAGCAGTGATTACCTTGGGTGGAACACTGTCCTTCCTAGCTTGACCCTTTCTCTGCCTCTTTGTCAGGAAACCAGACAGGTCCTCAGGGCTGAAGTGTTTAAATGGCATAAGGGGCTGAAAGAAGAGAAGAGTCTCATGCTGTACCTGTAAATAGGATGGTCTCTCCAAATAGACAACTGTATCATGCAATTATGTGTTAGTTCACCATGCCGTTTTGAATTTGCTCCCTATGAATGTATTAGAAAAGTAGAGAAAACTGGGGGCCATTCTTTATGTGCTGTTTATCAAAATTATAAAGGTATATCAGCAGGCAAAATAAACTTGATGGAGAAGAAACAGCATTCAGAAGGCCGTACTCCAAAGCCATGGATTAGAGTCCTGCCTTTCACAAATTGCCCATGTGATGCTTTACAAGGCACTTGATTCTCTGACCCTCTGTGTTTTTATCTGTAAATGGGGGTAAATATATCTAATGCACAGTTACTGGAAAACACAAATGGAATAATGCACAGGAAAGTTTCTGGAATAAAGGAGACTTCAGCAAAGAATGCTCCTCCCCTCTTCCCTCCCTCCATCTTCATAACTCCTTTTTGTGTTTTCTTTTCCAGGTGATTTATTCATCTGGATGCCTCCTATTGTATACCATCCCCAACCATATAGGGTTACCAGTTAAAATACAGGACACTCAGAAATTGAATTTCAGATAAACAACAAATAATTTCTTGATGTGTGTTCCAAAGAATGCCCGGAGACATACAAAACAATTATTTGTTGTTTATATGAAATTTAAATCTATTTGGGGGTTCTGTTTTTTGTTTGTTTGTTTCACTAAATCTGGCAGCCCTATCCCTGCACCAGAGTTCAAACCTTTCCTTTTTAGCAGAAGCAAGTGATCTGGTTTTTCTACAATATTCTTGAGTGAACAGAAACAAAGCAAATGGAAACGGAGCTTATGAGAGGAAGGGATGAGGGAGGGAGACAGAGGGAGGGAGGGAGGTGGTCCTCAGAATCTCTGAGTTACCAGACCTGAGGTTTACCCAGCTGGAGCTGGAGGCCTGGCTGTGGCCTGGGTCGTTTGTGGAGGTCATGGGGGTGGGGGCCTGGCAATAGCTTAGCTTCAGGACACAGGGCTCCTGCTGAGCCTGGAATGAGTGAAGGTGGGAGTGAGAGTGAGAGGGGAAGAGAGAGAGAGTGTATGTGTGTGTGTGTGAGGACCTGGGGTCACAGCCATTGGTTATGGGCTTTCTGTCTCTAGCTGGCTTCCTGAGGAGCTGCTGAATGGGAGCTTTGTTGTGGGGGGGGGGGG